ATATATATATATATATATATATATATATATATATATATATATATATATATATATATATAATTTATTCTCCCTCTTTTTAATATAAAACAGAAATTCACTTCGATAAAGGCAAATTCAGGAAAACTTAATAATATTATTTAGACTTATTTTATTTAATAGACTCATTTGCAACGTACGCGAAGAAAATCCACCTCTTCCACGGCAGAACCGACATTATATAATCCTGTCTAATTTTAATATTAATATTTCCAGGTTTGTAGAGGAAGACATCGTTCTCATAGACATCGAGAATGACAAAGATAAGCGCGCGGACAAGTGGGAGATGTACAGGACGAGTTTTCAAGTAGAATTCTACTGTATAATTATTTTATAATTGTTCTATAATTGTTCTATAATTGTTCCATATGACTAATAATCACTGATGTTCTTTTTCCAGAATAACGCAGTATTTTCGTCGAGATCTCACAACGTAATATATAAGACGAGATCGACGATCAATGACAGAGCAACAATCACCGTTTGCAAGTTTGCGGAGGATTTCACTCCTGAAGACGAGTCAGTCGAAGTGACAATGGACGGTAAGAAATCCGAATTGTTTTCATACCATGCTTACAAGTAATTAATTACTTTTTTGTTTAATTATCATGTTTAATTGACAATTAATATAAGCCAATTAGAAAGCAGAGAATTATGTATAATTATTGATCAGCAACAGTACACTATTAAAGTTTGGTTATTAATACAAATTTGTCAAGAATTATTTGATATAAAGTACACGATTGTCACGCTATTGTGAAGACAAAAATAATTAATATATTCCATCTTTTCTTTTGTTTATATATATTTTAATGTAATAATATTTATTTTAAATTTCGAATATAGTGATTAGAATCTATATATATTATGATTTTCTTCATCACAAAATTTTATTCTTTTATTTTTATTATTACTATTATTTTATTAGGGCTATTATCTTAAATTTTATTTTATTTTTATAAATTATAAAATAATACAAACATATCTTGTGTCATAGTGATGATATTAAAACTTTTCGACTCGTTAACGCATTTGGATCAACTGCTGCTAAAATGTGCATCGGTGTTGGGAGAAAACGTTAATAGAAATATGCTGCAGAGCCTGATGGAGGAAATATCTACGAGAGAAATAGGACTTGGTGAGTGAATATTTGTGAAGACATAATCAATATTCGCGAGTGATTTAGGAAAAAGAATGAAAAAGAATTTTAAACCTCATCTCCAATTAAATTAGCTTATATTAGTCGTTAATTAAACACGATAATTAATTAAAAAAGTAATCAGTTATTCGTAACTCTAATGGAATGTTGTCTTTCATGACCACAGCTGTTCGGAAACTTTTCGAAATTCGAGTTCTCGGATGCGGAGTAGGCGACTTCACTGCAAGTTCCAGAATGCTGATATTTCACAGAAATATAAGAAATGTCAGCGTCGAGAAAGAGGTCAGATGCGAATGTATGGGTCTCATGATACCGGGTACGCATTAATCCGAAAACGAACATTATATTATAACCTAAAGAAACAGCTTACCACACCAAGACTTGGCACACCATATTTAAAAATGTGACATTTTTTTTTAATTTTGATACTCTCTTGAAAAGTTCTAGAGCTCTTTGCAACAATTTTCAATAGTTCCGGTCATTAAATACAAAAAAATAGATTTTTAAAAAAAGGTGCGCTAAGTTCTCGAAGCGCACTTAATCA